ATCCTTTTCCACATACCATAAGGTATACGGAGTATGGAATCGCCCGGTATGTGAAGGTGTGGTATGAGTTGCAGCCAAAAGGACAACCGGTGCGAGTGGTAGTGGTCACTCACTTTCGGTTTCATACCTGTGCCCATGGGATAGGGATTTATAAAAATGTCTATAATTTATTATGCTAAATACTTTTCGAACAAATCTTTATATAACATTTAAATGTGCACTTGTATAAGCACATTGTAAAAATATTGTATAATAATCACTATAATAATTTTGTATAATTTATTTAAGCGTGTTTAAAAAATATAATACTTTATACTGTACACAATACGTGAATTTTATAATTTGTAACAATATACTACACAATTTAATATGATAATGATAAATGCTATTGACCATTTTATTGTGAATGTTTGAGTGCATGCTTTAAATTAACATGTTAATTATGATTAATAATGTGATGTAACCTTTATTCAATTAATGAATGTCAACGGAAATTAATAGTACCTTGGTTACGAGATATGTGTTTATTTTATAGATAAAAGAATGTTATTTTTATTACATTATTTATCCCGACACATACAATAAGTATATTTTATATTATAAGATAATAACCATGACAATCATTTGATTCGTATTGAAACATGACACCATTTTATAAATAAACAATATTATAATTAAAATTACATGTTATTTAATAATTTTAATCACTATAAGTTAATGTTCTCTATTATATTTTAATTTAAAGTTTTATCAAAGTTATGAATAATAAATTCAAAAAATTTAAATTTAATTTATAAAAATACCTAAACATATTTTAAAATTTTTTTTCTACATTTATAAATTATAATCGTCTACTTTGTTATTGATAATTTTAAAATGTACTAATATTAGTATAATGGATAATACATTTGCAAGAAATTTTACAGTAGATTCTGAAATAGGACATGGTCACTTTGGAAAAGTGTTCAAAGTTACCAATAAATACGACAGCAAAAAGTATGCCATCAAACAAATAACATTGAGAGGTTTGTTACTTTTAAGATAATATTTTTTGGCAGAACCTTGGTGGCGTTTCAGTATGTTTGCCCGCCACACTAACTATCGCGCATTTCAATAATTTTTCTAAATCTTTATAAATATAAGATTTTTAATTAAAACCATTTATTTATTCTTAGTATTACAAGTATCAATTTTTGAAATAAATATTCTTTAATAACAATTAAAGTAAATTTAGATTATACTATAATTGTTGGAAAATAAATAATTTAGTGGTGGCGGGTTATCAAGGCCGCCATTGACATAGTGCTCAGGGTAGTCACCGGTGGCGGGTAAATATACTGAAACACCACCCGTTTAAGGATTTTCCATATTTTACCAAAATTTGTGTAATTAGTAGTAAGAGGTGTACAGTAATTTTAAAAATAGTTATTAACTTTTTTAAAGTCTTACTAATTAAAGCATTTAAATAAATATACAGCATATAACCTACTTCCTAATATAAATTTACTTGTCATTATACTCATTTATATAATATGATTACTAAAACTTATATAATGTATTTACATGTGATTTAATAATTTTTAAATTTTTGTACAAACACTATTATTTGCGTAACATTTAAGTAAGTACATTTAATAATGCTAGTTACACATTTAATTTTATATTTAAAATATAGATAAAGATTTTAACAATAAAAATAGTAGCATCAAGGAAATTAGAAATTTATCTAAAGTGCGCTCAAAATATGTGGTCGAGTATTACGATTTCTGGCCCGAAGGCGACTATTTTTACATTCAAATGGAGTTGTGTTCCGATAGTCTGAAGAATATTCTTCAACAGAAACCGCAAGAATTTGGTCGTCAATCAGGAGAACCCATGAATTCATACGAATATTTCATTTCGTGTAAAATATTCCGAGAGATTTTAAAATGTGTTCAGTTTTTGCATGAATTTAAACCACAGATCATTCACAGAGACCTCAAACCCGACAATATATTGATCGATAGGAACCGACGAAACGGTAGATTTGTAAAATTAGGTGACTTTGGTTTGGCTACAGTTCACGACAAACACATTCATTTACAAACGGATAATAAGCACACATCAGGGGTGGGAACCCAGGGATATATGGCTCCTGAAGTACTCCTAAGTAAAACATATGACCATAAAAGTGATGTCTATAGTCTGGCAATAATCGGAGAAAAAATATTCGAATTCAATGTGTCCGAAATTGACAAGTATGTCTATTAGATTTTAGATTTATTTATTAAATCTTTCATTTTAAACTGGTCTGATTAAAACTTATAAATTATTTCATTTAATAATAAAAAGTAATTATGTAAAATTTTATATTTATGTTTGCTTAAATTGCTAAAATTAAATGCCATTTTTTAAATGAAATAATTTAGTTAATATTTAAGATTTAGAAATTAGTAGCATACAATCGGTCTTATAATTGACGTATTTATAATTTTTTACAATATTTTTAAAACTTTAAAAAATAAAGGAATTATTGAGGTTCTAGCTTTTTTAATTTTACAATAACCTACCAACATTAAATAATTTTCATTTTAAAATTTAATTCATTTTTCATATTTAGTTGGAAAAGTTACTCAACTAAATACCCTAATTTAAATCAACCAGTGCATCGGTTACAATCTATATTGCTATCAATGCTTTCAATAATATGTAACATAAGGCCGGAATGTCGGGAAGTGTTGGATAAATATAATGAGTGGTCTATTGATACTAAACTTCAAATTAATCCATCAGAATATGGATCAACCATAAAGAATTTGAAATTAAAAAATGATCCAATGTATTTGCACTACTTGAAACAAATTGCGCCGGAACCCAGGCGTATCAATGTACTTTTATTAGGTCGAAGTCAAACTGGAAAAAGTTCGTTTATTGAGATGCTAGTTTGTGCTAAAAATGGAAATGTTCGAACTGCTGGATTTTCTGATACGTTTGAACCATCGATAACCAAGATAGATTATACCGACAATATTACCGAGTTACCTTATGAGATAAATATTATCGACACACCCGGTTTTGGACAATTACGTGATAATGATAGAAATCCAACGGACGATGAAGTATTTAAATCTATTACAGAGTATTTGCGACAAAATATCACCACTCTAAACTCTGTATGTTTGACGAGCATAGCACATGAAACTCACCGACATGATCTGAGAATTTTAAATAGGATAACCAATTTTTTGGGACCAACGTGCTCCAAAATAACCATGCTCTTACTGTCGCATTGCGATATGTATTCCGAAAAGGAATGTATAAATCTTCTCGATAATATTCGTACACACCCTGATAGTAAATTATATTACGATTACTGCGGTTTAGGTGTATTATGTAGTGGTGTAATCGATTCATTTAAAATGCAAGCTTTTAAAGAACCTATAAGGCAAATGTATATTGAAGTTAAGTTAGAAGTTATTGAAAAATTTAAGAAACAGATTATTGAAAAATTAATATCTTGCGCAGATATTAAATTAGATATTAGCAAACTAAAATTAAACAGCAATTGATAAACGGGAAACCTGAAATGAATTAATACAAAAAATATAAATAGATACTGGTACATATTAATATAATATTATTACATTAATACAATTTATTATTCAAAATTTAGTATTATACGTAGATTTAAGTGTTAAATAAATTGTTGTTAAAAATTATATGGCATAATATGAAAATGTAAAAGCATAGTATACTTGTATTCTACAAAAACATTTCAAATATTTTTGGAGTTTTCAAAAATACTTGTATTTTGATTATCAATCTGGTCACACTGTATATTGTCCAAAATATAGTACCAGTGTCCCACATGTCTAGCTTTAAAATCATTGTTAAAAGCATTACCAACACGTTTTTCTGTATAAGTAGTTATGATAAAGTTTATTTATCATGGTAAAAGTTTTACTATATGTTTAATGGTGTATTAATGTACCCAGTGGTCGAGGGCACCTATACGAGCAAATGTGTGCACACTGAAATACAAAAAAGAATACAATATGGTTTAAAAAGATATTTTTATTTTAAAAAATATTTTTATTTAAAATAATATTAAATTAATGTTTATGTTAAAGTACAATATAGTGAATTTAACAATAATTAATAAATAATTGATTAGATTATTTCATGTAAAATTTTTGGAAACACTCAATATTTCTATGATTTCACTGGAATTTAAGAATATTTCTGATAAATAACTTTAACATTTAACTAAATTGATGAGCTAAAAGTATTAACTAAAAATGTTACATGGCTATAAATGGAGATTATATAAATATATTTATGAATAAATTTTTATTATTATAAAGTGAATTAAATATATCTTCTGGAAGATGATGGGGTTTTAAAAACTTCATCCGGGAGGGCAGCAACATCATCCGGATCAGTTGAACTTAAATTTAATTTGAATTTGGATCTGGAATTTAAGAATATTTCTTATAAATAATTATTTGAACACTTAGCTAAATTGATGAGCTAAAAGTAATGTTAAGTGTTAAATTTATTTATGAAAAATATTCTTAAATTCCAGTGAAATCATAGAAATATTGAGTGTTTCCAAAAATTTTACATAAAATAATCTAATCAATTATTTATTAATTATTGTTAAATTCACTATATTGTACTTTAACATAAACATTAATTTAATATTATTTTAAATAAAAATATTTTTTAAAATAAAAATCTTTTTAAACCATATTGTATTCTTTTTTGTATTTCAGTGTGCACACATTTGCTCGTATAGGTGCACTCGACCACTGAATATACCTCTGACCCATGAACTTAACCATAATATTATTGGTAATATTTTTGTCTACAATTGTGATAAAACTATTGTCAGTTGCAAAATCACCATGTACATTATCAGGTAAATATTGATGAGGGCATACTTGGTGTACTTGGTCAGTGGTCATTAGATTATTTATAACTTTTGTTACCATTTTTAAAAATTAATGATTTTCTATTTTATGAAATCAAATGTGTTCAATAAATTAATGGTTACTTAATTAAAAATAACTTTATTCATTAAATGTTAAATAACAATTTATAACATATAAATTATTAAATGAAAATCAACATTTTATGTCTACAAAAAATATAATTATTATCGATAAATATAAATAGTAAATATTTTTTTTAATTATAATTTTTTTAACAAATAATACTAGGATAAAATTATTACTTTTAACTTTATAGTAATTTATTTGTATTAATTATATACTAAAATGCCATTGATATTTTATGTTTTTATAACACGTACTATATGTTTAAAATATTATCTCATAACACATTTGATTTTAATACAAATAAAAGCAAATTAATATTTTCTAAATTGTTACTAAAATTTATTAGTTATAAAATGTTAACTGACCAAGTACACCCATGATGCCCTCATCAATATTTACCCGAACAACTCTATTATATAATCACATGTTTCATCATACATGTGGATGAACTGGCTAATAATATTGTTGTGACATAAGTGGGTATCAAACATAACGCTATTACAAACATTACAAAAACATAAATAGGAATGAAATTTGTGTACATTTGCATGATTTCGGTGGCGATTATGCTGTTTATCTACAGTCATTCCAACTTTAGATGAGTTCAATCAAAAAAAGATTAAACTATCAAGATGATTTTTAGTTTTACTGCCCATTTCACCAGAAATGCGGAATCTTGTGATTTCTCATCTGAATTGAAAATTA